TTTGAATTGCCGTGGAAGATGATGGTGTAACTGCATCGTTGGGTATAATCATATTTTAAAGCATACTTTTAGGCGTTAAAATCTAAGATGAAATGAAAACATCTTTATTAAAATTGTTACTTAAAGTTCATTATGAAGATAAATACAATATTAAGAATTAAAATAGGTCCCAATCGCGGATATTCCCAATACTCTCCCGCTCTCAACTTGGGTCGTTCCTGAACGAATATGCTCAAAGGAGCTATTCTGTCAAAGGAACGATCGGTAATAGCGCCATCTATTTGTTTTATCTAGTTCCTTTGGCTCCAGTATTTCATGTTTTCTTCCATTAGAGGTGAGCTATTTAGACCTCCTATTCTAATACATGAAAAATATATATATATTATATATAGAAAAAAGGTCCAAATTATGCCTATACACTGCAGCACTCCACTTATGGGGTAAGACTTGGGTCATTCGGGAACAAATTAGATCAAAAGAGCTATTCCGTGAAAGGAACAGTCGGTAATAGCTTCGGTTATTTCGTTCATCTAGGTCCTTTGGTTCCAGTCTTTCACATTTGCTCCCACCCGGTTCCTTTGGATACAATCGTTTGCAGTGAGAGTACCGACTATAATCGAAACGAACCTAGTTTACACCTCAACTATTAATCTTATATCGCCTATTACGAATACACTCCACACCCCACTTATGTGGTTAAACATGGGTCGTTCATGAACGAATTACTTCAAGGTGGAGGTATTCCGTAAAAGAAACGATCTGTGCTTCGATTATTTCGTTTATTTACTTCCTTTGGCTCTCATTCATCCAGTTCCTTTGGATACAATCGTCCATACACATCTCCCCTTGCATTGGCCGAACGCTTGAACTAAGTAAAATTAAATGAAATGAATGAACTAGTTCGTTTTCGCGGAGGGATTCGAAAAAGATGAACTATTGATGTTGTGCTATCAGGATTAAAATTTTGCCTGAATACTATAAGGCGCGTCCACAGGTTTCGAATCTTTGGACTGATCACTGATATTTGCGCTCCATAAATTACGCAGTAATTCCAAGATTACTGCGTAATTCATAGTCTCATAGTCTTCTTAAGTGTTTAATCGTTCGGCAGTGAGAGTACCGACTATAATCGAAACGAACCTAGTTTACACCTGGGCACCTCAACTATTATTAGGGTTATTTACAAAGACCTTGTATTTTTGACTATACCTCTGTCGACATTATATCCTCCACTTCTGAATATTTTAAACAAAAAGTCCAAAAAACAAAGAAACATGTTGTCTTGGTACCCGAAACCGATGCAAAAACTTTTCCATTTGTGCCAAAATTTTAAACTCACGTTCAACACAAAGGACCGATTTCATATAAATGGTACACCAATGGCCCAAAAACAGCCACGAAATTTTACATAGATTGCTGAGTCCACATGATTGATGGATTGATTGAATTTGGTTCATATATAAATATAGATCGCTTAGTTGATACTACTGATGTCCGTTTGAGTGGATATTGCACACATGCAATAAAAATGATTAAATGGGAACATTTATGAAGCATGGTTTACAAACATAATCTTACTAGTATCTCTTCTACATACCCAATGTGGTTGAGGATATTATATAGTCCGCGCCATCCGAATTTTTATTTTTTGGCATACTGGTTTTTAGTTCAATTTGGCGTTGGAAATCAATGCAATGCTTAAACTGTTGAAACTATACTAATTCGCTTTTTAGTTCACGGATGAACCAGTTTCATTTAACGATTCACTGAAATGAGCATGTGAACTAGTTCAGCCAGTACAGTTTATTTAAGTTCAGTTATTCAACTGATCGTCAAAATTCTCATGAACAACACGAAGGGAAGCAAACGATTATTTGTCTGTGAATTACTTTCTTACACTGAAATGTTATTGATTGTTAACTAAATGTTGCACTAGATGAATGAACTAGTTCAACCAAAAACTAGCTAAAGTGTAAGGAGTGCTCTTATAAATGAAGTAAACTGCACAACTTAATAAAGTTAGGCGGTCCGAAACGTAGTTCATATAGTTTCTTTATTTCATCTAGTTCCTTTATTTTATGTCATTTCATAATCTTCTTAAATAACACTGTGATACAAAACAAAACTAAAATTTTTTTCAGGAGTTCTAATGTACCAATACTGTTTAGTTGGAGTCCCTGGACCACGAATATACCTTTGGTTTTTCTGGGTCACTTCGAAAATTTGTTTTATAACGGTAAATGTAGGAAAAAACGTGGTTCCATAGATTTTCACTTTGAAACTCGTATAACTTCTTTTCTTTCTAACGGATTTATATTATTCTTTTTTTTTCTTTCGAAGAGTAGAATTTTATCTTTCAAACAAGATATATGGGTCGATTATGGAAAGCAACCAAACTCCAGTTGCGAGTTCAACTGACAACGCAATTGAAATAAAACTTAACATTATGAATATCAACTTTTCTCAGTTGCTGTCGATAATACTGTTTTGACATTTCTACAACAAATATTGTCAACAAACAAAAAATGAATAAAATATTTCAGAAAAACTAATTATATGTGATGATAAGCTCAGTGGAACTATTTTTTGATGATGAAAATTATGTTCAAGGTGTGTCATTTATTAGAAGGCATTTAAGAGATAAATCTATTAGAACTACCATCAGTTCTGTGAGTAGATGCTGACGTTTAGAGAAATGTTCAATCAACTGCTCATATTAGCTTGAAGGCGTATTTTCGACTACCAAAATATGCCGTTGTGTACATAGATGAAGCCTTAAACCCTGATTTCCGAAAAGCCTGGAGGCCAACAGCAATTCCTCCACTCTTAAAAATGTGTGCAGCTCTGATGTTTTTTTGTGGAGGGAAGTTTTCAAAAGTCCAATAGCAATGACTTCAACCTTGGCATGGCTCAACCGACAATGTCAGTGGTTTTCGCCGAAGTTATCTGGCAAATAGAGGAAAAACTGTGTAAAATTTTGTTTGTATCCAAATTTACGGAGGAGGAAAAAGGGGAGAATAAAATTTTTTTATTCGAAAAATAAGTTCCAGGGTGTTGTCGGATGTATTGATTATACACACGTACATATCATGGACCCAAAAGAAGATGTTCGCCACTTTCTGCCATTCATTTGGAATGCGTGTTGGTGGGCCATAGCAGTTAAGGTCTTCTGAAATGGCCTTCCACACATCATCGATAGTGGTTTTGGTTTGACCAAAATTCCGCACGCCGCGTGCTACATTTGGGTGAGCTTCCATCCGGGCAATAAGGATCTCAAATTGTTCTTTTGTAGTAATATTAACCATTATGGGAAGCCTACAAAGTTCAGTTATTATAAACAGCAACCAGAAATAAATGGTTGCCGAAAAATTCTATTTGAAGCAACTGAAGTTGACAATAGTTCCCATCCATAATGCAAATTTGGCAACTGGCAACGCAACTAAACTATGGTTGCCGTCCGTAATCGACCAAATATATTTGGTAAATCGGTTGAGGATTGGCTGAGTTACAGCGGTTGAGATGTGAAAAATACGCATAAAATGGCAAAATTTATTTTTCTTCGGACTGTACGATGAAATTATGATATCAAACCATATAAGTTTTATTATATTATGGGGAAGAAAATTAAATTAGCTTTCGAAAATGATAAAAATCAAAAAAATCGGTTAAAAAATGGATGACTTATACACATTTTTGTATTGATTCTATGCATATTCTCTAAAGGAAATATGGGTCTGTATCGTTTCCTTTTACAAACCGTTATGTTTGTAACAGGCAAAAGGAAATGAGATAGACCCGTATTTCCTTTAGAGAATATGCATAGAATAAATACAAAAATGTGTATAAGTCATCCATTTTTTAACCGATTTTTTTGATTTTTATCATTTTCGAAAGCTAATTTAATTTTCTTCCCCATAATATAATAAAACTTATATGGTTTGATATCATAATTTCATCGTACAGTCCGAAGAAAAATAAATTTTGCCATTTTATGCGTATTTTTCACATCTCAACCGCTGTAACTCAGTCAATACTCAACCGATTTACCAAATATATATCTTGTTTGAAAGGAAAAATTGTACTCTTCGAAAGAAAAAAAGAATAATATAAATCCGTTATAAAGAAAATAAGTTATTCAAGTTTCAAATGGAAAGTCCATGAAACCACGATTTTCTCTATATTTACCGTTATAAAATTAATTTTCGAAGTGACCCAGAAAAACCAAAGGTATTTTCGTGATCCAGGGACTCCAACTAAACAGAATTGGTACATTAGAACCCCTGAAAAATTTTCTTGTCGCACAGTGTAATTAGAACTATTCCAAGAAAGGAATGATCGGAACCAGTTCCAGCTCATTAGTTCATATCGCTACTTTATTTCATCTAGTTCCTTTATTTGATGGCGTTTCTTAATCTCCTGATATTCAAAATTCCGTAACATTCACAACACCATATTGCTGATTGTGAAAATTGCGGAATATTAAATTTTGTAGGACTTTTTGGATTTTCCCGTTAATTTTTTGGAAATTTATGATTTTCTTTACACGAACCTACACCATCTTTCCACGGCAAGACATTTAAAATTTCCGAAATTAATACAATAATTGAACAGATATGTATGTTAATGGATGGATTGTGGGAGGGGAAGTCTTCCATATGTTATTTTTTTTATTCATTTTTTTAAAAAAGATCCACAGATATTCAAAACGTAACTGTAGATTGTTATGTATTACCTTTTTGTTGTTTTTTTTTTTTTAATTTTAATATCATTTTTAATTAATACCATTTGATTTTCAGTTGACGGCCTTAAAAAATTAAAAAAACAGCTGTTCCCAATGTAAAATATTAAAGAAACAGAAGAAATGTGTAAAACAAAAAGAGGGCAGTGAGGCGGCATTTTGTTTTCTTCTGAGTTTCTTCTTAAGAGAAAAATATCGAAAAGAAGACCGTATCAATGTTAGGCATTACACCTCGTATTCCTCAAATATAAACTCGTTTAGTGTCCGTCTTGTATGTAGGCATTCATGCGTTCCTTTAACGAACGCATCTTTTGACGAACTCCATACATTTTTGACTAACTAACCAAATTCTCGATGTCGGAGACCATAACCTCCAAATCTGAAGTCAATTCTGTGGCATGCGTTTTCGCATTATGGTGGCTGGTTATATTCGCAGAACTTGAATTGGATGAGGAGGACGCAGAGTTGGAAGCGGACGTCAAGGCCGCAGCAGGCAGTGGCGGTGGATGATAGTTGTGGGTGTGTTGTCTCACAGAATTGGAACGTTGATGCCCGGGCGGTAGCGGGGCATTGACTACCGGTGGTGGTGGCAAGCTTGTGCGGCTGCGCCTATGTTCGGCTTGTGTTATTATGGCTGGATTAAAATTAAAACTATTGTTTAGATTGGCCGGAGAATGACTGCTGCCCGCACTCGCGGAGGAGCAGGTCGAGGAGGAGGCTATTGAGGCCGTATTGCCACCAGCTGCTGCTGCCGCCGACGTATTAAGCAAACTAAGACTAGCTCTTGGTATATTACTAAAACTAGCTCGCGACGAACGTTGAGCATTATATGATGGCAGTTGCTGGGATGTGGTGGTGGCGGTGCCAGCTATGCAGGCAGCTGGAGTCGACGAGGAGGAAGATGATTTGGCCAAGACATTGCCCGGTGGCTGCAGCATTTGATTAGTGTGGGCAGGTGTGGAGCTTATGCTGCGCCTCAGTGGCACTGGACCAGCGCCGTGACTCTGCTGTTGTTGGACACTCACTACACTCTTACTGCCGACCTGTGTCAGCTTGGGGTTGTCCATGGACTCTCTTCTCAGATTCATATTTGAATTGCTACGTTTGGCCGGCTGTAGGCCAGCAGGTGGATCTTTGCCATTCTTGGCCACACTAGACTTGAGGTTAAGACTACTGCGTTTCTTGGTTTTGCTTAAATTATTTTGACTATTATTTATAAGATTTTGAGTGCTGCCGAAGTTGCGACTCAAATTATCAGCATTGCTATCACTGAGTTTGCGCGATGAACGCTGGTTGTCCACAGCAAAGGGATTACTGGAGCTGGATGATCTCTGAAAATGTTGTTGTTGCTGTTGATTGTGTGAAGAAGTGGAGGGTTGGCTATCTAAGTTGGATTTGCTAGTCGAACGCTTGACCATGCTGGAGGAGGCGCTGTTGCTGTTGGATGAACGTTCCGCCGAATTTACGGCCGGGTCACTGAGACGTTTCTCGTTGGTTTGTATGAATTTCAGATTCTCATAGAAGGGATTCTCTACACGGGAGGGGGCTGTTTTGGGGTTAAGGGTTTCATAGTTGGGTTCATTCAGGGTTAAAATTTGATTGTCCTCATCATTGTTGGAGCGTAGCAACAAAGCGGCCCGCTTAGTTTTCTCTCCCAAAGATCTAGCAGCACCACCACCGCTGCCTCCACTACCTCCAGCCGTTGTGCCACCATCCATTTGATGGGTACCACTGGCTCTCTTATTATCCGTACGAGAGTGGCGCTTGAATTTCGTATTTGCCGGATTACCAATGACATGGGTCTTAACCTTGGTGTTCTTCGAAAGACGCAAAGCAAATTTGAACGGAGGCTTGTAGACCACCTGCAATTTAACCTTTTCATTGGACAGGTTACCCATACTCTTACTCTTGGTGGGGGTTTTCTGGACCAATCTCTCGGGTGTACTTTGAGATTTGCTCATGACATTCTTGACCTTGGATGAGTGTTCAATGTGAGAGAGGGGCTGGGCCACAATCGGTGATTCAAGTAGCCATTTTTGTACCTTACCAAAGGTGTTTGTGTGATTATTTACCGAACCCAGACCACTTGTGGTGCGTGTGGAATAATCTATGATCTCCTTGCTGTGCTTCTTCTTTTTCGATTTCTTTAGATTTTCAGCAGCAGTGGCTGCCTTCTCGGCGCTGACCACAGCATTGATGACATTTTGTGCAGTTTTACTTTGACTACTACCAGAAATACGATTCTTTTTGCCACGCGGTGGTTTCTTGGCATCAGCCGTTGTAGCCACCGTTGTTGTTACCCCTGCAGCAGCCGCAGAGCTGGTAGTTGCTGCTGCCGCCGCCACTTTTGTAATCCGTCCATGACCATGTGATATTTTTGTAATTGCCTTACTTGCCTTTGTAACACCTCCTCCGCCGCCTGCTGCCGCCGCTCCTGTTGTTGCTGCGGCCGCTGATGTTTTGTTCGTCTTACCCCCACTACCATTGGCTGCTGTTCGCTCGCCTCTGACTTTCTTTTTGAATGGAACTTTTGTTCGTACGGCCGTGTGAACGATTACGCCGTTGTTGTCGTCCGGCAGCCGTACGGTTTCGGTGGTGGCGCTGTGTATTATTGTTACCGATTTTAGTTTTAGATTTGATCGTTTCGTTAGCAGTTTCGTGCTCAGGATCTGGAAAGTAGTTAAAAATGGGAGAAAAGGAATAAATAAATATGGATTAGTATTGGTTTGAAGCAACTATAAAAATTGGATATGAAAAACTGGCAATAAATATGAGATTTAAAGAACTTTTGTTGAGATAAAATATCGCTAAATACCTTCTATAGAATTTGAATATTTCGAATGGTAAGCTAGATGACCATTAGTTCAAAAAATACTTTCTTCGAAAGACCTTTATGTCTTCTATAAAAATAGAAGTCCTCTTGAAGTCTTCTACAGGAAGATTCCTTAATCGTATGTGTGATAGTGAAAGTCGAGGCTGGTTTCCGGTCACACATACGATCAATGTACTCATAGGCATATTTTATTTCCGTCCAATTTATTGGATATAATTTTGTGGCAATTCAATGAATTTTTCGTGTAATATATAGGTTTGAATTCCCACAACCAATGAATTAGTTTCAAATATTGTTGAATTTTCGTAGATTTGTAAACAATTAGCAACACCACGCACGTCAAGGGTCTCGTGCTTCGTTGGTGATAAACAATAAGCAACAACGCGCGTCCCTATGGTATTGTAATGCATCGGTTAAACTACGGATAGGTTCTTGCGATTACAATGCATTGCTGGGGTTTAAGAAAGATATAATCCGTAGACCGAACGACCATCGCAAGATCCAAAGGGAATTTCATCGCTGAATTACCACTAAAACCTCACCAGGTGAGTAAATTAACCTTATCAACACCGACGTCTACATTCTGAATACGCGAAGTGAAGGAGGACGGATTTTTTAGTGAGCTTCCCGTGACAACTGAGAACACCGACCCTCACCCGAAACAATAGGTGAGTTTCGATTGCCACCTTGCACGACCGCACAGAAGGGAGTTGGAAAAAGCTCCTTTTAGTAATGAATTTTCTCAAGCCACTGCAGTTTCCCCTGGCGAGATCTCTACCTCCACCCTTACGTGAACCGTTTCCTTTTTTGGCCCTAGTACCAACGGCGCCGATACACATTTCCCTGTGTCCGTTCATCGAAAACCGTTGCTGACAGAAATAAGATGTCCTCTTTGCTTATAGGAACCCATTAGAGTTCTGCTATTTGTTCACATGTTTTGTATAGGTGACATGTTCTGTATAGGTGTAGAAGATATTTAAAGGTCTATACATACGTATATTTTCATTTCTATACAAACCTCCATTTTCTATAAAATATCCTTAATATGATTTTTATATCCTATCTCTATTTCTACAGTTAGAGGACTTAAATTTCCATCGAAGAGCTTCAGAGGTTTCCTACTTTTGTAAAATATCTGTAGAGGCCTTCATTCTCTGTAGAAGAATTCTTTATCTTTTTCTTTAAACGACCTATGAAGACTTTAAGAGGTCTTGTATTTTCATCGATGATCTTCAGAGGTCTTTTAGAGACGTGTAGAGTTATTCTATATATATTGGTCCTGTATGTCTATAGAAGACTTGAAGAGATCTTATGGTTCTTTAAAAGACCGGTAGAGATATTTGATCTATATAGAATAACTGTAGAGGTTTTCTTTATATAAAAATCTGTTAGAGGTTTTGTATTTCTAAAGAAGGTCTGCAGAGGTCTTATATTTCTATTGAAGAAGATCAGATGTATTTTAGAGACCTATTGTTCAAAAAGCTTCGAATAGAGATTTAAATTGTCAGCTCTTTTTGCCAGTCGTCAGCATGCTCAAAATACTTTGAACAGAATTTCGTATTTCACGAGCTGCAACTGCCTGGTAAAGTTTAATTATAGATGCTGAAGGCATATTTTCCTATATTTTATACCTGTAGAGATTGTTCGTATAGAAGGTTTGTAGAAATCCTACATTTCTATAGAACATCTGTAGAAGTCTTTGATCTCAATAGAGGACATGTAGAGGTCTTCTATATTTATTGTTTTAGAAGACATGTGAAGGCTTTCTATTCCCTTAGAAGACCTATAGTGGTGTTATATGGAGGAGATCCAGAGATCTCTTTTTTCTTTGGAGGTATTTTAATTTATTTATTTAGAGACCTTGTGGAGAACTTTAAATGTCTATATGAGACCTTTAGAGGTGTTCCAAGTCTGCAAAAGACATATATCTATAGAAGACTTTTAGGCGTACTTTGTATATATAGAAGACCTTCGTATATGTCTATAGTCATGCTATGTCTATAAGATAATTTGAGGGGACTGCTATGACTATAGGAGACCTTATATAGATTTATAGATATATATGTTTTAAGAACATATGTTCGATCATCTATAAAATATTTTTTTTACATCCGAATGTAAGCTTATTAGCAGTTTTGTTTTATGGACTATCAGTCTAAATTCCAAGCCGTTTTACTTCTAGCCTTGAATAAAATGAAAATGAATGAATGTTCTCTAGCAAATTTAAGTGAACTGAGATATGTGAAATATTGAAAGCCCAACAAATACAATTTAGCAAAAATACTATTGTTGTTGTTAATTGTCATGTCATGACAACTTACTACCTCCATTTGCGCCTGCAGGATTCTTTTTAGCTAATTGTTTTTCATATTCTTCCTGTAGCAAGATTGTGGCAAGTTTCATAAACTTTTTGGCGGCAACATTTTTTTTTGAGTTAGAAATTAAAATTTTTCGAATTAGAAATTAATAGCTTATACAAAGTGTAGTAATAGGTAATATGCAATCTACATAATCCGTATCGGCAAATGTAAGAAACTCTTCCTTAGGTTCTAATTTTCAAAATCAAATTAATGTGAAATAATTAAAAGTACTATAAATGACAGATTTTCAATGTAATAATTTTCAAACTTCTTATACATGCCCCTATCTTCTAGGTAATCCACCAAAATCTTTAATTTTTTACCATGAAATAAATATCGGTTTCCCTTAAAATCACTTCTCTACTAGACACCCATTATCAGCATTAAATTCACAATCGAAATCTACTCCATAAAAATTATAACAAAAATATTTTTCTTTTATCCAACTTAGATCCTTCATTGCAATTTTTCATTGCATTCTCTATATCTCCGAAACAAAAAAACATTTCCATACCATGTACTTGTCCTTCATCTTCAACTTGTTTGAGTGATAACGTTCGCTGATGGTGCTCTTGTGATGGCATTGCATTAAAGTGATGACCACTTGAACTTTTTGGCTATCCGCCGCCTGGCTACATCTATCTATGTTAGTAACCATGACAGGAGGACAAAAAAAATATTATCCGGCTACTAGGAAAATCGATATATACCAAAATCGTTCTTGTTGCATACTTTTTTTGTAAACAGAGATGGTTTGGTAAAAAATGTGCCACAATGTACACAACGTTTAGATTTTTACATCAACGGCGTATAATTTGTGTACTCCTATTTCCTTGGTTTTTGCTGGAATGCAGGAAGAGTAGTGGTCCCTTAAAATAAAATATGTTTTTAATAACCCATATGGAGAGGTCTATAGAGTGTAATTAATAAATTCTGACTGCCTTTTTTGACTTAAAAAGTACCTTTATTAAACGTAACCCTTAGCACTAAATCGAATATCTAGCATACCATTTCGATTTCATCCCCTGAGAGGATGATTTTGGTTTTTAGTTGGTTGTGAGAAAAATTGCTAAAAACTCGAAATAAGATCGGTGTTAACCCTAAAATGAGTTTTCATATTTTAAGATTTTCTTGACGTTTAGGCTGATATGCTACCAGCTTCTTTCATACAAACCATCCCTGTTTGCAATCCCATAACAAGAAAAAAGTCGTCGTATTGTGTTTTCATTGCTCCATTCACAATCGTACAAATAAATCAGTTTGCCAACAGATTTGCTTGGCTTAAGATTTTAGATTTGTTCAAGTTTTTCATCTCCTCTCGTTCTCCATCTTTCTCTCTCTTATAGTCTGTACTTACCAGCAGCACAAATACACCGACAACGGCCAGGGCCACGGTATACCAATTTTGTTGTATCCATTTTTTGAATGTGGCAATGCTTTCCTCGGACAGCAACAATTTTCGTAATGTTGCCAAAGGACCAGATGGATCAACTTCACGACATTTTTGGAAGACATCACAGTAACTGTTGACACGAAGACAATGATGATGATATTGTTGTTGATGTGGGCGTTGTTGTTGCATGATGAGTGGCATATACAAACGAGAACATGGAATTATAGAAAAGGAATAGAACAAAATATTTTTTAGATTATTTTTATAATTTAAATTATTTTTTTATTATTAAAATTAATTTCCAAACTTAAATGGGGTACCAAAAACCTAAGTTTGTCCGAATGTCACAAGTTTTTCAATAATGTTCCGAGTAGGGTATATAATGATGCCTGTGAAGTATTATTAAAATCGATATTTAGGAATACGATATAGTAAAATGATTTGATAATTAGTTAGGAAAATTTGACCGCCCATTAGAATATAAAATAGCAAACTAGAGCTAATTCGTTTCAAAAAAGATTTGATAATTTAGTAAGGACATTTTATATATGGAGCCAATTCGGTTGAAAAAAATTGTCCAAAGTCGCTAAATATCGGTCTATCCCGAAACGTAGGCCAATATTGATAGTTTTTGTGGGGAGATTTTCTACCCAATGAGAGATATAGCTGCTGACTAATTATTTGTTATTGATCTGACGTGAAGTTCACACATCTTACAACCCATCTAGTAAATATGTATGGAGGTGTAGTTTAGGACCCGTCTGACTTTGGTTCTCTTCTTTATGGTATATTTTTTTCCTAGACTCCATTTTTTTCTCTTTATTAATTTCTGTAGACAGACTATTTTCATTACATATCCAACCATAATTGTCTTGGTTGGCTAGCCTCTACAATTCATTGTATCTCTCACTCATTTGAAGGACATTTTTCATTTCGTCATCCTTTCAAGTTGTTCCGTCCATTGTTCTACTTTCAGCAAATTTCAGAGATGCACTACAAAGAAGTGCACATGTGTGTATGTGCGAATTAGGCTGGTGTGAGGGGTAAGAGAGAGGAAGTATACATCTCACTATTGTTTGGTGAACAATTTGGTAATGGATGTGGTCATTTTAAAAGATTTGACACTTGACATAGACACACAGTGGTCAAGTTGATGTGTGTGAATACACATACCTATATACATATAGCACACATACATCCTTGTGCATTATATTGAAACCACTATCATGAAACACAAAAACCGCAAACTGTGACATTTTTACCATTACACCATCCCAATACCCTCCCGTTTTCTCTCCTTCTCTCTCGTATTCAGCTAGACCGTAAAACTTACCCATTATAATCATTACAGGGTGTTCCAGGTTTGGCATACATATCTGGTACATCAAATGGTGGTTCATTCCATTCAAACGAACTGCGACATGGATTATCTTCCCCGGGAAGCTTACAGCACAGCTCACACGATTTAATTTTATCATCTTTCGGACCAGGTATACATTGACACGATTCCAAGCCGTAGGCCAAACAAATACTACCCGTACATTCACCCATATAGCAAACGAATTCCTTATTACAAATAGTCTTATTCGGCTTATTAACCGACGGCGGACACTGTGGCATATGACCATCACAGAAACTGGGATCCCGACAACCATTATCATCGCGACACTTATCACCATATTTCAGTTTACAATCACCCGTACAGCAGGGACCTTGTGAGGGGCTGCACATTGCCTTCGGTGTCAGCGTGCAGGGTTTCTCATCGTTACGCGGATGGCGTGACATGGGAAAGCAACAAGAATCTTTACAATCCTCTTCCCAACCACAGTCGCATTGTTCACCTGGTTCTACAACGCCATTGCCACAAATCGACGACTGCGGTTCGGTAAAGCAGCCTTTGGTACTACGAGCTTTGGCATTTAGAACCGGTTCAATGGACTTCAGTGAGCAGGGAGAGAATTTGTTGTTATTCTTCTTGTCTCCCGATGTGGCACGGGCGAACATAATAAAATTGCCATCCTCACCGCCCGGGGTGCACTGTTCGGGATCGTGCTGAAAGGAAATAAAAAGGATTACGATTAAAAATGTTGATATAGTTTTAACTCTGAAATAGAAAGGTATAATTTGAATATAACGTCTTCAATATAAAATTTAATTAGGGAAATTAAAAAAAAAGTAAATAATTCTGGATGACGTAGGGGATGATACGGCTCAAGTAACGGCTCTGATTGACTTTAACATGGCAAAGCCCGGGCTTGTCTTGGTCTCTCTTTCATCTCATTTGTGGACGGAACCCTAGTGACAGATATATATATATGGGCAATATTGCCAATTTTTTAATATTCCATTTTCAAAAAATCAGCTTTTTTGTTTTTGTGGCACATCAATGAATTTTGGTACACATATAGAGAAAAATGTTCTGACTCCGAAACCGTTCGCGATCAAATTTTTGGTTGATGCGCGCAAAAGTTATCGAGGTTTTAATTTTGGGCATAAGAAAAAAATCTTAAAATGACGCCGTTTATTATATTGACCAGAAACGTTGATATATATCTTCCTCCGTAAAATAAGAATTTGAATATATTAAAATAATCGCGAAAAAGTTGAACATATTCGCGAAATATGAGAAAAATAAAAAATATATAGCAGATTACATCAATATTTTCAATATATTAATGACATACACACACCTAAAAAATAATTTAAAAATATCTACATAATCTAAACACCATGATGAATCAAATGATATCAAAATCACACAAGTCCGTGTAGCGGTTTCTAAATCACAGCGGCAACAAAACAAGATATTGAAGAAAAATATTTGTTTTTGGTTCGAAAAAATAATGCCATCATATTTATTTTTTTAATTGTATACAAGAAATTTCAGAAAAAAATGTTGGGGATATTCTGCTATTTTACCCGAATTTCGCCGAAAAATTGACATATATAATAATAATCACTTTTTGTGTATAAGTATACGCCTTGCGGATTATAGCAAGACCCTTCCGATAAATCTTAGAATACTATAAATAGGAATAAATCTTAAAATAAAATAATATTATGAAATATACATTTTAAATTGCGTCTAAATCGCGTAATTCTCAAAATCATTTGATGCGCATGCGATTTCCAGGAAGTACTGAAGTTTATCTTCCAATCCATATATACTTTGCGAAATTTCATTTGACGGCTAAGATGTGCCACACGTTACATTGAAGTACCCAAAAAATCGTAAAACGCGAATAATTTCCGAAAACTCCATATGCCATTAACGCGCATCCGATTTCGGTGTGCACCCTAAAAAAATACATCGATCTATACCGATTTCAATGTGGTCCATTAAGAACCATGGATGTGCCAGCTCACACTATTTTTGAGATAAATTGCGTCTAAAGCGCGTAATTCTGAAAATCATTTGATGCGCATGCGGTTTCCAGAAAGTACTGAAGTTTATCTTCCAATCCATATATATTTTGCGAAATTTCATTTGACGGCTAAGATGTGCCGCACGTTACATTGAAGTACCCAAAAAATCGTAAAACGCGAATAATTTCCGAAAACTCCATATGCCATTAACGCGCATCCGATTTCGGTGTGCAACCTAAAAAAATACATCGATGTATACCGATTTCAATGTGGTCCATTAAGAACCATGGATGTGCCAGCACAATCTATTTTTGAGATAAATTGCGTACATCTCTCTTTCGGCTGAAGTTTTTAAAGTTCTCTTTTCGAAAAAGATCAAAATCCGTATGAGGTCTTTTATTGAAGCGGAAATGATACACAGAAAACGCAAGTAAATCCGCGATATTTTCAAAAATATTGTTTGCCAAATTTCGTGTTTTTGGAAGGCCAGTTCCCGCCGTTCTAGTAGATGGATTTTCACGAAGGAGATTTTATATCATCCGAAACGTAAAAAACCTTATTGATCGCGGGTACCCATATCATTCAGTTGACAGATCTAAAAATTTGGCCCGAAAAATAGGTTTTTTAGAAATTTGATCGCACAAAATTCGCACCTTCGGATGAGTATTACTCTGAAGCTGTGCATACAACGTACACAAAATACATATCAAATTACGCAGATTCGCGATTACAATAATCTTATAATCGATTTTTATAAATTCCTGTTTGAGTATTAAAGCTAGAAGTAAAATTAAAAAAACACTCAAAATCGAGCTTCAAAATGTCAGCATCAGTTAAAGGTAGATGGAGTTAAAATTTTGAAAAATGATACATAAGGGGCGTAGTCCCCATTTTGTTGGCTTTTAGTTTTACTTTGACACGAAGACCGTGAAATGAGTGGCTTAGTCACAAATCGATAGAGAACATAAAAAAACTGGTTCGCCTCAACCTGTTTTTACACATTTTTTTACATTAAAGTAGACACAGCTTCCACCAAAATAAAGTTTGGAGATCAATATCACGAACTGTTTGCAACGACAGATCAATTAACCCAAAACTATTCACTTTCTTTCATATACTTAAGTAGTTCCCGAGTTATAAAGGGGTGAACCTCCGCTTCAGCTATGTTAAAAAATTGGCAATATTGCCCATATATATATATATATCATGTTGAGGATATGGAAGGAGCATTTGGCCAAGATGATGTCAGAATAGCAATTAATCGGCTGAAGAATAATAAAGCAGCATGTGCTGAAGGGTTACCAGCCGAACTATTCAAGACCGGAGGTCAGGTGCTGATCATGAGCATGTACCAGCTGATTCGTACAATTTGGCTTGAGGATTGGATGTCCAATGCAAGGAAACAAGACGATATAGAGAAATTGGTTTCCTTCCATCGCATATAAAGTGCTATTCAGCGTGCTGTGTGAACAACTGAAGCCAATGATCAATGATATTATTGGATCTTATTAATGCGGCTTCAGACCTGGCAAATCTACCATATACCAGATTTTTACCCTGCACCAAATCCTGAAAATGACACACGAAAAACACATCGACACATTTCATCTATTATAAAGCCGCATTCGACAGACCTTTCCTTTCAGAGGTGTTTATGCTGCGTTCGTCATAATCAGTAGGCCTATTCTGTAATTTTTCGACATTGTTTATTTTACAACAATTTCATATGTTTGTTTTGTTGTTTTTACAATAACAAAAGGAAATTAAACACTATTTAACTGGAACTCTGAGCCATTCAATATCGAAAGAGGGTTCAGACAACGTGAAAGTCTATCCTGTGACGTTGAAAAGGTCATACGAGAGCAAAGGCGAACAGAAATGACATGTCGATGAAATCGTAACAGCTACCTTAAACGGAGTGTGCCAAAGTGGGACTGGTAGTAAATGGCGAAAATACCAACGTACAAGATGTTCAGTAGACTCGGGCCAACTGTGGAACTTGAAAGCTGCAGCTGTGAGGCAGTGAAAGATTTTATATACCTTGGTGCCGCCATAAACAAAACTAATAACATCAGCTTTTAAATACCGAGAATAATAGTCTTAGCCAACAGAGTAAGCAACTTCAGAGCAAGACTACTGATACTACCCGTGCTGTTGTATGGATCTGAAGCATGGGAGGCATGTTGGAGTGTGTGAGAGAAAAATCTCCGAAATATCTACGTTTGATCTGCGTCGATGGTAAATATCGCCGGCGAATGAACCACGAGTTGTACCATATATTCTCAAACATTGACATTGTGAGAAGTATCGAGCTGCAGCGACTACAGTGGATAGGTTGTGTTGTGCGAATGGATGAGGATGCCCCAGCTCAAAAGGCATATAAAAGCGAGCTAACAGATGGTTCACGCAGAAGGAGAAGACTATGAATTCAATTGAAAGACCATAAGGTCATTCGTAGAGATCTTAGTTCAAAATTTGTCTCTATATATTTTTTTTAGAATCGTTCCATATATGTGTATTCACTTGCTGTAACGTATTTATCCTTTCTTAATGAACTCATTTCATGTGCAATATTTCCGAATCCCATACTTTCGTCCTCTTTAAGCTATCGTGCTGTAAAACGATGTCGTATCTTTGCTTAAGTACTTATGAAGATATCCTAGCCCTTAGCATGAAGTAGGGGAAATCTTTTTAGGAAGCGCAAATCATTATTCCTACATACTTTGTAATTAAACGGAGATTATAATTGTTTCGGGTTTTGAGAAAGACCACAGTTATGGACCAATCACACGAAATTTTGCATGTAGCACGGATTCTGACCAAAGAAGACCACTATTGTGTTTGGTAATGATCGGTTAATATTTGAGGGTTGAAATGGACCAACAACTTTATTTTTGCCTGCTTTTCTGGACGCTCTAGAAGCCATAATTATGACCCGAACACCACAAAATTTTACACCAGGAAGTGAATCTGACCCAAGAATAGGCATTTGTCTTGAAGAAGATCGCTCAATATTTAGCGGGTCAAATGAAAAATTACAAAATTTGTATTCTGGGGCGTATATATTTGACCAAACAGTAGGCATGTCTGTCTTGAAGAAGATCGGTCAATATTTAGCGGGTCAAATTACAAAATTTGTATTCTGGGGCGTATATATTTATTCCTCAGGGAAATGGGCCCGATATGTTGATATTATATCAAAGAGGAATTGTTGACCTTTAAATTGATATATTGATATATTTTCCTGGTGTAGGGAAATTGTAATACTCAGCCTTTGTGCAACTAAATATTGCTCATACGTCCTCTTGCCAAATTATTAAAATGAATCATACGCATCAGTGGTCGTCGCATTTACAAATAATACAGTAAAAAAAAATAAAATGTGGTTTTAAACTTAAAAACGACAAATTTAACCACGTTCTAATTCAATCTAAAATCCATTTAAAATATCATTCAAGTATAAATATTCCAATCAATATCTCTCATTTACAAGTCAGGCGTGTAATTAAATCAGCAAACATTAATTTGATAATTACCAAAAATTGTTTGTGTAGTTAAAAATCTCACGAAATCTACACTACACATTAAGACACATTAAGAACTATCAGTTTTATTTTTAACTATAAACATGTCTGTTTGTGTGTGTGTGTGTGCATGTGCACTGGAAATGCAATAACTTGAAAATGTAATTTGTCCTTGTTACAGTTTAATCGATGATTAAAAGGAAATTTCAAGTACCGCAGCCATACGCAGCAGCGTAATGATGATTATATCATTGAAACGTTGTGGAATGGAATGGTATACCCTGCTTAAGAAACTAAAGTTCTTGATATGCTCTATGAAAATAACAACAATCTCTTAAGATGTGAAAGCACACCGCACGCACACCAGCAACGACGACGTATCTACTTTGCGAAATGAAGTTTATAACGAATAGATTTCTTGATAAAAACAAGCAGAAGCAATCGATATTAATAGGGTGTATGATTTTGAAACAAATTGAGGGTAGATTTACAAAAAAGAAGCATATAACGATTTAAAGCTATTTTAAAACTCAATTAAGCACATTTAATCACCGTTGCCTTATCGAAAATCTTGTTCTTAATTGAGACGCCCTAATATTAATTTAGTATCCTTCAAAACAAAAACAAAAAAACCAACAGAAAGCGTTGCGGTATCTTTTAGAGTCTATTGTTATAAACGAGTGCATGAAAGTGTATCCGACTGTATAATCTGTGTATATGAGTATGGCTTCCTTTCTTATTTTTTTTTTACTTTTTCCCCCTACGAGCTAGAGAATGAGAGTGAAAAAACAGCAACAACAACAACACATGCCAGCAGTATGTGTATTGGTGTCATGAGTATACTAAACACCCTCACTTTAACAGACTTTCACACAACGTGTGGGAAAACTATGAAAAACGTATGCTAGCGCTAACTTACTACACTTTTGTGCACAGACACAAACACATGCACACACTCCCTCGTTTGCTCATTCGCTTTTAAAAGGAATACATATATCATATACACAGGAAAATCAAGTTCCTCTCGACGCCATAGTTATAAAGTTCAACGGCAAAAAAAGAAGAACAAGAAGAAGCGAATTTCATGCTAACGCGACGAACTGTAACTAATTGCATTAAGTGCATTCCATTCATTGTACCGAAATTGCAGACACTCGTACACACATACACATGCAAACACAGACTCGTATACATATAACGAATAGAGGAAAACCTTATTTCCAGACACCTATACAAACGTTATCGCGGCGCATTGGATCGCAACGTTCGTTGTCTGCTTGTAATTTCCCACTTCCCCTCTGCCAGCATTACAAATGCATTGTTGCCACTTAAATACGATGTGTTGCATTGTTACATTTGTAGACTTTGGGTTTTTGGGTCCATTTGTGTACGAGGTTATAATATTGAAAGTGCATCGTTTTTTTTTGGTTAGAATTTAAAGAATGTCTGAAATTTTGGCACTAAACATTGATAGGGAAGTATTTAAAGAGTGTTAATCGGTGTTGCCGATAGGTATATTCCCTCAGCCTATAGTCTGCGAAGGTCTTCGGAATTACACCCAATTTTTATTTATTCGCTTGTAAAAGGTATATGATTTTATCAAAGAGTTTTCGGCATTAATGTTGATCGAATAGGTTATTAAATTAAATTTACAAGTTTATAAAATGTTGAACCATGGTACCAGAAGGTTTTGATCAATGGGTCCCACATTCGGACTTAATCTACACATGGAAAAGATAATAGCTTGCTTAAAATTTGGTTCGAATTATATTGAAAACTTTGACCATCTTTGGGGAGGTTCCAGGTTCCAGTGGTTGATTGACTTCGCGACTGCAAAAAACATGGTAGTTAGCAGCACCAGATTCAAGCATCTCGATATACACAAGGCCATCTGGATTTTTCCTGATCAAGCAAGGCATTCATTCAGTGTTTTAGGTGTTCAATCGATCTGAGGAGCGAATATCAATTCGGACCATTACCTTGTAGCAGGCAAGGTTCGCACCCGTCTTAATTTAGCAGCAAAGGTGCGATCTTAAATAACACGGAAACACGACGTCGAAAAGCTGCAAACTCAGCAGGTAACATAGACCTACTCCGCTCAAATTACCCAGCTGATTGACGAACACACTTTTTGTCCCGATAATATTATAGAGGCACAATGGCAAAGAATTGTCCACTCCCTACAAACTGCTTCAAAAGCAACACTTGTGTACCAAAAACCACCATCAAGAAACCCATGGTATGACCAGGAGTGTTGTAATGGTACTGATGTGAAAAACGCAGCGCATACTTGTAGGGCAGCCCTGCACACAGTAGTAACATGTAATGCGGTGGAGAATTTTCGGGAGAAAGGGAGTGAGGAAAATCGGAGAGAGGAGAAACGTATTTTCAGAAAAAATTAATAAAAACAGGAAAAACGTGAGCGTGACAAATCGAGATGTACAGGAGCCAGATGTACAAGAGTCCGGAAATTTTACCAAGGAGAAAAATGTCAAACAGAAGGCTTTGGCGCAGGCACATCCTCCTGTAGAGATGAAGAAGGAAACGTGGTGACAGATACAGACAGCATGTTGAGGATCTGGAAGGAGTATTTTTAAGAGCTTCTGGTATCAAATAGAGGCGATGAAGAAGATACCCCAGACCCAATGAGAGATGACGGTATAGAGGGTATACCACCTAATCAAGATGAGTTCAGAATATCAATTAATCGGCTGAAGAACAATGAAGCAGTAGGTGCTGATGGATTATCAGCCGAACTATTCAAGACCGGTGGTCAGTTGCTGATCATGAGCATGCACCAACTGATAAGAACAATTTGGCTAGATGAATTCATGCCCAAATGAATGGAACCACGTACGATATGTGCCAATAATGATTGCATGTAAAGTGCTATACATCGTGCACTGTGAACGACTGAAGCCAATGATCAATAATATTATTGGATATTATTAATGCAGCTTCAGACCTGGCAAATCCACAATATACCAGATTTTCACATTGTCACAAATCCTGGAAATACCCACGAAAAACACATCGACACATTCCAACTATTCGTCGACTATAGAGACGCTTTGGAAAGCCCAATCCGCTTAGAGGTGTTAATTGTTATGTCTGTATTCGGCAGTACTGCAAAACTAATACGACTATGACGGATAACTTTAAATGGCACAAGGTCAGCAGTTAAAGTCGGAAAGGAGCTCTCGGAGCCGTTCATTATCAAAGTAGGGTTCAGACAAGGTGACAGTTTGTCGTGAGGCCTTTTAAATATCCTGGTATCAACGCGCAAGCCGTCCAGTACACTCGGAACAACTGTGGGACTTCAAAACTACAGCCTCGAGGTAGTGTACGATTGTATATACCTCAGTACCGCCATAAACATAACAAATGACATCCGGAGAACAGATGCTACTATGGTCTGAGTAAGCAATTCATAAGCAAGGCAACCTGGGGTCTACTTCGAAAAAATATATGGGAGCTATATCTGAACCAATTTTCACGAAACTTAACACACATCGTTCTAAACTTAATTCAGTACGCTATGCCAAATTTCGTGCAAATCGAAAGATATATAGGGTGCAGCAAACACCATATACATTAAATCGGACATTAATATATATATATGGGAGCTATATCTAAATCTGAACCAATTTTCACGAAACTTAGCGCACATCATTCTAGACTCAATTTAGGGGCTTTGGGAGCTATTTAAATCTGAACCGATTTCAACAAAACTTTGCGTACATATTTCAATACTCTGTGCAAAACGTTATCTCAATCAGACAAATATTGAGTGTTTGTGCCTCATTTACATAAAATATGACGAAACTATAAATGGGAACCGATCTAACTCTGAATCAATTTTCTCCAATTTCTATTGGGTTCGTGCAAATTAGTGACATATGCGAAATTTCTTTCAAATCGGATCATAAATGCTTTGTTCACAAAAATACATGGACGGACAGACGGACATGAATAAATCGACTCAGAACGATATTCTATGCATATTCTCAAAGTAAACTATGGTATATCTCGATGTCTTTTGCCTGTTACAAACATATTTACAAATACATAATACCCTGTACCACAGTGTGGTGAAGGGTATAAAAACGTAAAAGCTTACTGTTTTCTTTGTCTACAATGACATGAATTCTTGCCACGATGTGGTGCAGGCAATGCAGAATAATGTCCTGACTATAACCCAAACAAAGAGTATGCGCTGAATGGGTAATAATTTATAGATACAGGGGTAAGATGAGTCGAGCCATCGAAAATTAAAGTATTTTTTTATCCTATTAAAAATTGGACCTTTGTGTCCTCAAAAGATTGGACCAAATCTGTTCGGTAATTTGTTTTTTACTTACATGAAGCGATAACATCCACAAATTGTGCTACCACACAATTTAGGTTACTTTCGAAGGTTTTTGATTTAACCATTTCAAAGAATATGCCCTAATGGGATATTTTCATAATGTTGGAGTTTTTAATAATAATGCTTTTAAATTCTCCGAATATTTGTTGTATATAATGTTTTATTTTAATTTTATATCCCTTTATTTATATTTTTAAAGAATAAATTAAATCACATAATTGTCCTTTTACTTACCGGTGAACCAAAATTATGACCAATTTCATGGGCCAGTGTTACGTGGGAAACGGCAGGTGGAACATGTTTACCATAATTCAGTAGAGTAACAATACCCGTATTCAGAGATTTTAAGGAACCACGATAATGCTGAAAAAAAAAACAAATAAAAAACAATTAGAAAGGAAATATTAAAAATTGCAACCTAAGATATGGAGGCGTATAATTATTGTTGACTACAAATGATGATCATACGCAACAATGAACAACTAATTAAAAACAATCATACGCCTACGGTGTCTATTTGATATAACTTAAAATGAAGCATTTCGTTAGAATAAGCCTGAGGAACTTGTTATTAAAAATTTTTCTGCCCATCAATGAATGAAAAATCTATAATTTCTTCCAATATTATTTCAAATATTTCTCATAACGAAATTTAATAAAACAAACTTTCTTTCGTTACAAGTACAAGTTAAACACCATTAACATCTCTTTATGACATGCTCCAGAAAATTTTCTCAACCAGACTCCTTGAATTTTCTAAAAAAACAAAAATGATTTTTTAATGTATTTGATTTTTGAAATGGACGCTGGTGAAAAACTTTTGAACTTTCCACGAAATTAGCAAAATTTCAATTAATGAATCTGTTTGAAATTAAAAAATATGAAAAACCAACAAAAAGTTCGACAGAACAACCACCATACACACATTTAACAATGCCGAACCGGAAAGAAATTGTTTTTTGTTTTTGTAATTACAACTTTTGTTGTTTTGGAAAAGCAAAAAAAAAAAAAAAAAAAAAACAAACGGAAAAATACAAAAACCAATCCCACCAACAACAAGTGGGCAAGGAAACCATCAACGAACAATTTTTGTTTTTCCTTGGCAATGAACACTACAACAAAAGTTTTCAATTATAAATTTTGTGGTTAATTGGAAATTGTTGTAGCTAAGTGGGTGGAACAGCATTTTCTTTTTGGAAAATTGTTCGTTTCTGTGTATGTGTGTGCTTAGAACTGGCAACAACTTGTTCACAGTTTATAAACTCTGAGAATTGTAGCGAGAAAAAAAACAAGAACACAATTTCAATATCCTTCCATTTTAGAGTTTGGTTCACTATATATCCGTGGGTCAAATTTCACTGTTTTACATTGTTGTCGTCGTACATTTCGAAGGGCGAATGCCAAGCCAAGCCGTTTGTAATTTTTTTTCCAAATGATGCCATTGTCCCTATATTAGGCCTGATGTTGGCTAAATAAATGCCATGCCGAGCCGATCCAACCGCCGAGTGAGCCAACCATCCAACATGTTACCCACTCCGTTTTTCCGCATTCCACCAGCCAGCTGCAACTTTCACAGGCTACCATTAATTGAATGAAGCTAATAATGATGGTGACCGAACGTGATTAGCGGTTACGCTTAAGGCTAAACATATTTGCCTTCGGGGGTAAATCATTAAGCAATAAGAAAATTAAAATGTTCATAATGGTTATGAGTTATTATTCAATTATAGGCTTTAATGACTGTATGTGTGTGTGTATGTATATATGTATATGTGTGTGCGTGAGGTTGGGTAAGTGGTTTGAATTTAAAATGGGGAATTCTAATGAAATTGAATTTTAATTTAAAGAATTTTATGAAAAAACATAAGACATAGACATAAAAAACTGCACATGCTTCGGGGGTATTAGAAGAAGCATTTCTGAAATACTTTTCAATGACAATGACGTTGTGGATGTAATAAAATTGGGGAAGAAGGGTTTTTTGTTTAGTGGAGTGATACCTGACTCCCTGGGACAATATCCCAAGCAAGAAACTAAGAGAATTGATGAGGATTTGTGGCGAAATCCGAAACTATATCGAGCCATATTCGCCAAAAAAACGTAACCCCCAATTTGAAATTTTACAAGACAAGGTTTTGTTTTAATAAATTCAGATTTAATAAAGCTATTATTTTGAAATATAGAACTATCGTTTTGTTTTAAACTATAATTCTAAATTCGATAGCTTTATTAAATCTGAATTTATTAAAACAAAACCTTCCCCTGTAAAATTTCAAATTGAGGGTTACGTTTTTTTGACGAATATGGCTCGATATAGTCTTCTCGGCCTTTCCCGAAAGCAATCACTTTAAAAATAAACATCTTGTTGTTTTTATTTTTAAAACAACCAGAAAGGGATCAAGCTGACTTACCTAAAAAAGTATTCAAGAATACATATTTTTAATGACTATCTAAACTAAAATCATGGCTATTTTAAGAAGATTTTGTCCACAGCTATCGAATCAGATCCACAGTTGTGGATTTTTAAAAACTTGACATCTTTATGTATATCTCTTTTAAGAACGTTCGGAGCTATAAGCTTGGATTTCTAAATAATATCAGAGTTAATTTTTTACGAATATTTTTTCAAGGACTATCGGAGCTTTCAGTGTGAATGTTTTAAGAACACTTTTTATATCCTTTACCACACTGTGGTACAGGGTATTATGTCTTTGTGCATATATTTATAACATGCATAAGGAAATGATATAGACCAATGGTCCCTTTTGAGCATATGCATATATTCACTCTCTGAATCGATTTATGCACGTCCGTCCGTCTGTTGATGTTAAATTGTAAACAAAGGAGGTCACATTTATGGTCCGATTTGGATGAAATTTGCTACAGCTCATATATATGGTCCAAGGACAAACCCTATTGGAATAGGTGAAAATCGGTTCAGATTCCGATTTTATGTAAATGATGCACCAAAGACCCTATATTACTTTCGATTTCCACGAAATTTTGCATGGCCCACTAAATAGAGTCTGGAACGATGTATGTTAAGATTCGTGAAAATCGGTTCAGATTTAGATGTAGCTCCCATATATATTTTCGTCCGATCTTATAAAAGTGGTGTACCAGAGTCCCTATATATATTTCAATTTGCACGAAATTTGGCATAGCGTACTGAATTAGGTCTAGAATGATATATGCAAATTTTCGTGAATATCGATTCAGACTTAGCTCCCATATATGTATATATATATATATATATATATATAAATGGTATATATATTTAGATATAGCTCCCATATATTTTCTTCCGATTTTATATAAATGGTGTCCCTTATATATTTTCGTCCGATTTTATACAAATGGTGTACCAAACCCCCTAAATTTCTTTCGATTTGCACGAAATTTTGCATAGCGTACTGAATTACGTCTAGACTGATGTGTACTAAGTTTCGTAAAAATCGGTTGAGATTTAGATATAGCGCCAAATATATATTTTCGTCCGATATTCTGTAAATGGTACACGAAACCCCCTAAATGTCTTTTGATTAAGTCTAAGTCTGTGTGCTAAGATTTGTGAGAATAGGTTCAGATTTAGATATAGCTCCCATATATATTTTCGTCCGATTTTATGTAAATGATGCACCAAACCCACGAAATTTAGCATAGCGTACTGAATTGAGACTGGAATGATGTATGCTAAGATTCGTGAAAATCGGTGCAGATTTAGATATAGCTCCCAAATATATTTTCATCGGTGCACCAACGACCCTATATTACTTTCGATTTGCACGAAATTTAGCATGGTGAATATCAGTCTATATTTAGATATAGCTCCCATATATTTTCGATCGATTGGTTGAAAATGGTGTACCAAAGCCTCTAAATTTCTTTCGATTGTAACAAAATTTTGCATAGCGTTCTGAATTAAGTCTAGAATGATGTGTGCTAAGATTCGTGAAATTCGGTTCAAATTTAGATATAGCTCCCATATATATTTGCGAACGATTTTATGTAAATGGCCCGACATTTCTTTCAATTTGCACGAAATTTGGCATAGCGAACTAAATTGAGTCTGGAATGATGTATGCTAAGATTCGTGAAAATCGCTTAAAATTTAGATATAGCTCCCATATATATTTTTGTCCCATTTTATGTAAATGGTACACAAAAGCCCCTAAATTTTTTTTTGCACGAAATTTTGAATAGCGTACTGAATTAAGTCTAGAATAATGTGTGCTAAGTTTCGTGAAAATCGGATCAGATTTAGATATAGCTCTCATAAATATTTTCGTCCGAATTTATGTAAGTCGTGCACAAAAGCCCCTATATTTCTTTCGATTGTCAGTATTGTGTACTGAATTGTGTCTCTAATAATGTGTGTTAAATTTCGTAAAAATCGGTTCAGATTTAGATATAGGTCCCATATATATTTTCGTCCGATTTTAGGTAAATGGTTAATCATGTTAATTGTGCACCAAATTATCAACGGGTGTCCGATTGAGATTTTGCAGACAGATCTGTCTGAATGACCTGAAATTTAGCAAAGGTTGCAGAATGCCATGTGTGTTGCTTGATGTTAATCGGTTCGCATATAAATAAAAATTACTATTTAAGTTCGTCCAATTTCATGTTAATGTTCCTTCGAAAGGCGGCATCTGTTGAATATACCCAAAGTGGTTTCACTTGTCATAGGACCCATAAGTGTGGATTATTTAAACGATATTTTTCTAGGCAATCCAGAGCCATAACTTCTTAATTGGCCTAATAATGTTAGGTCTCCTCGACTTTGCCCAATTGTACTTCAACTTTCAATAATGTCAAATGTTTCCCTTACATTTATTTAAATATTTAATAATCCTAAATCTATTAAGCAATTATAATTTTGTTGTACAATCCATGCAGTATCCCCCTGTCCGATACATTAACAAATATTCACTAATAGCTATCCTTGTTACCTGGACACACAAGCTAATAGCATTATCCTCATTATTTGTTTTGTTTGTAAAATGGAAATCCTGCAAAATCAAACATTTTCTTAATTTCCTGGTTAGAAGCTTTTAGTTAATCAGCACATTTAATGGTAATGGTTTACAAAAGAGGTAATAGGAAAATTGTTGTTATGGGAGGTCAATGACATGGCAACAGAACTTATATACTCCTCACATGGCACATACATATGTCTGAAACACTTACACAAACTATTCTTTAAGTAGTTTCCCATTTCCTCTTTATTCAATTGTAGATCATCACCTATGCATATCCTGGCCTGCTACTAAATTGAAAGTTTAGTTCATATATCATTACCATCACCATTGTATGGTGGTTAGAATGATGCATGTGTGTTTGTATGAGTAAATCTATATTTA